ACTTACATTACACACTTTTGTAATGTCTCTTTGCAGAAATGAGTTTTATGTTAATTAACCGAGGATATACTGTCCACTTTCACCCTTAAGCAACAAATGGTTCTTTCATTGTTTGGCTAGCTGTATTGAAATGGGAAAATCCAGTGTAATGTGGACTTTTATTTCTCCCTTCAGACATGTTGGAAGATGTCAGGATTCCCTATCATGCTTTGATTGTCCCATTTCAGTGCAGCTAACAAAACAAAGAACCACGTACTGCTTAAGAGACAGAGGGTGAAAGTGACTTCAACCAACCAACCTGATGGCGTGGCGCTCTGTACTGACACAAGGTGGTGCTGAACATGCTCTAAAAACTGCTTCTTAAATCCAGCTCCACAGATAGTGTTACATCAATTCAGTTTTTGAGAGCAGGGCTCCATGGTGTAAATTTGGGCTTATACATGTAGTGTTTCATGTCCAATTTAAGGTCCCATTCAGTAGCACACAGGACTCAGTTAATCAGCTTCAAATATCCTGGATTAAAACAAACACTATCAGAGATCCAGGGTCAATCACCAAAGAGCTGTTTGGGTGGTATTAGGTTGGTAGCACCTTCTGTTTGATCAGCAGATATCTTAGTAAAGACCTAACATATATTTACTTTTGTATTTATTTTCTTCAAGCTGATAAGGGCAGGAAAAATGTTTGTTAAACCAAATTGAGGTAATTCGTAATTCTTTCTGGAATTGGATTAAAAATTATTGTCTGAAGTGCTGTATCTCTATTCTGATATTTTTATGTTGGGTGATAGTTATTGTTATGAATGTAGATTTTTAGTGTTGATCTCTAATATTTAATGGAATGTAACCTTATCGTTAACCTTTATCTTTTTGACAAAAGTTTTAATTAAGAAAACAACAACTTTATTTAAGCTGCTGTAAGAAATGTGAAGGCTGACAATCATCCATGACCTGGATGTCTGACAACCTTCATAGACAATTCTGTGAATGTTAAAATAATACTTTGTAAAGAATACCGGCAACAATAGAAATTTTACTAAAAAGGTCTGAAAATCATGTTGTTTTATTGATTTATTTGAGTATATTTTAGTTTAGATGTGCTTTTGCTTGATTTCTAGCTAATCTGTCATGATCTGAGCGAGTGTTGGGTTTGTCTCCTCGCACACTGTTCCCCTGGGTCCACCCTGAGGTGTAGCTCAGGTAATCTCCTTCGCCTGTGGTGCATCAGCTGCAATTAAGAGGTTGCATTTAAACCCAGTGTCGTCACCTCTCCTTTGCCAGTCCGACAGCTGCCAATGGTGGTAACAAGTTGCATCTCAGGTCGATGTTTTGCCTTACCTGCTTCTCCTTGTGTTCTCAGTTTTTGACTCATCAGTTACACCGTAAGCACCCAGCTCCCAGCCAGAAATCTCACCCACCACTGAACCTTGCCATCTAAACTTGGATTCTCTTCACCTCTACCGCCTGTCCTCCTGCCCGCTGCCTCGCTGGAAACACTAAACCTCAGGTTGGACAAATACAAATACTCAGCTGCCCAGTCTACAATACCCTCCCCAAGCTGGAAATCGGCTTCACTGCATGTAAGCAGTCAAGATCTGTGTTGTAAATACTGACTATGTTGTGTCTGCATCTGGGTACTTTCCTAGTGTTGGCCTCCGGGCCGTTTGTGATGTAATCTTAAGATGTTGCCTGGGCTTCTTGTTTTCAGTCATACTCTGTAGCATGGATGGCATGTGCTTGATTCCCAAACAGAGACCTGTGCCATTTTGAATGTGCAGAAGATTTTTTAACATGAGCAGAAATATTTCTGAAGCATATTTAGGCTGTTAAAAGCCACAAGGATATATATTATTTTATGAATAGGTGACTCATACATGTTTAAGCAGGTAACGTCTTCTGACAAGGAAGCCAAAGTCCCCTAACAGCGTACAAACCTTATTTATTTGTTAACGCCTGGCTATTATGTGGTAACTGTGTGATGCTATCATTTGGACCAAAATCTCAGAAAAAAATGTTTGCAGCACTTTGTTGAATCTACTCCAAAAAAGGTAAAAGGTGGTTCAATGTGTATCTAATACATTTTCCAGTGAGTGTATATGTAACACAAAGTGTAGCATTAACAGACAAAAATGGGGCAGCTTCCTTTTTCAGTCAAAAGCAGAAGTTGGTACAAGAAACAGAAGTCTGTTAAGAAAGATAAGAAGCAATAACTTCTTGTATTATGATGCTCTGTGGCTTTAACACTGTGGCATCTCTGAGTAAAATTCACAAAAGGCTCAACAGAAAGACAAAATAATGACAGAGGATGACCCACATAGCAAACAGGTCTGGCCTGGATCTGGTGTCAAGCCGGCACTGCTGGCTGACTTCTGGCATGGTAAGTGCCAATGATGCCACTGTTTATTTGATGGCATGTCACATCTGGCCCGATTGTGGTTTGGTTTATGTGGCCCAGGCTCATAGAAAACAGGTCTGCCCTGGATCTGGCATCAAGCTGGCACTTCTGACTGACTGGTGTCATGGCAGGGTGTATGTCGCCCAGATGGGCGCCAGGTCTGGCAACGATGGCACTATTTATGTTCCTATTTTCCTATTTTAGTTAGAAGACCCAAATGCCATGTTGCAATACTATACTGCTATGGTAGCAAACGTTTCAAATGCAGGTTTGACAGGTTTGTGAGTGTACACTTTATCCAAAACCTAGTGACGGTTTACTCATGTTTACCACTGTGTGGCTGTAGAGCTAGAGCAGGTCACCTACTGATTGGAAGGTCAGTGGTTTGATCCCTGGCTCTGGATCTCTGTCAAGAGTGTGAATGTGTACAAATCTAGTTAGGAAGAGAAAGTGTGTGATTGGGTGAATGTAACATGTTGTATAGAGCACTTTAAGTAATCAGGGAGAGTAGAAAAGTGTTATACTATCAGAAAAGTGTTCACTGTCTGAACAGAGTTTCGTCATGTTACTTTTGCACTATTATGTTCCGGCACATGTTGTTATTACATGGCTTGATTAAGGTACACATTAGGCTGACACCTGGGGCCAGAGCTGAAACTGTTCTGGGCCAGCACAGGACCACCAGTGTGTCTGCAACTGGCTTTGTGCTGGAACCATGTGTGCATTAATTCTGGCAAACCAGATCTGGGCCACCAAGGGGCCATCATTCTTTGTGGTATGTGGGCCATGTGCAAGAACATTTTGTGGGCCAAATCCAGGCCATACCAATTTTGCTATGTGGGGACATTAACTGCACTTCGTAGGTAGTTAAAACAAACAGTAAGTCCAAATCAAGAAATATGTATACAGGGAGACAACTTCATCAGTTTTAGAAGCCACTGAGGTCAACCTGAGACACATTCATGTGGATGCGTATTTTACACATACCACCTCAACATTGTGACCAAAAGACAGCTAGAAGATGTGACAGTGATGAAGATGCTAAGAAGAGTAGAAGAGAAGATGTCAAGTTGTCAGGATTTGCAAGATTTGAATTACATTGAATTGTTCTGAATTCCTTTATTGTCATTGTACACAGTACAAAGAGATTCAAAGGCAGTACTGACCAACTCAGCAACACCAAAAGAGCTGAAAGACAACAGAAGACAACTAAAGTGCATTACAGAATTGCTTATGAAGGTTCTCAGACATCCAGCTCATGTTAATCTAAGAAGCTTGGGAAGAAAAGAGACAAGACTTCTTTAAACATGTTTTTTTTCCAAGCTCTGAACAAAGCTTGAAAATGCATTACAGAATTATTTCAATGGTCAAGAAAAACAGCTTAACATCTACACATCAAGAAATTCTTGGCAAGGCAGGTGTATTACTGTCAAAGTCTACAAACAAGATGAAGAGAAAAACTGTAATGAAATATGTAATATGTAACCATATTAATTTGACACAGCGACAAAAGACAAACACAGGGGAAAGACTGGAGGAAAAGAAAGGAACACAAAAGGGAACTAGCAGACCTATCAACAAAACCAAAACAAAGACTAAAGGCATGAAATATTTAAAAAAAAAACTCGTAAATGGAAGGAAACATGAACTCAAACCATTAATAAAAGACTAAACCCTGATCATGATCCATTTTTTACAACAAATAATGAATACACAAAAATTAAGAAAGAGCAAACATGAAAACATAACTGACTCAGCGTGACACATGGAACACAAGGGAGGCACAGTAACAAAACCTAAGAACTAGAAAATATAACCAGTAACTAAATCAAAGAATATTAATGATCAAAAACATAAACACTGGGTCACCAGACCTAGATCTATGACACATTATATTACATTCATTGTCACATAATTAGATACAACTCTTCAACTTCTCATTCATGCAGATGTGCAGCCGACAAATCTCGAGTAACTGTGTAATGCCATCATGTCAATATGGACCAAGATATCAGAGAAATGTTTCAAGCACCTTGTTCAATCTACATCACGAGAAAGTGCTTTTGGTAACTACAAGCCTCATTCACCCAGTCGCACACAGGTTTATACAAGTGCTTTTTTTCAATATCCAAGTGTCTTGTATGCTGACACTCACACACAGTCACACTCAAGCGGACGCATTGGGGGTAATTTGGAGATCAGTATCATGCCCAACATCCAGAATGGAGAAGACGGGGGGTCAACTGTCTCCAATGAGCTACCACAGCTGCCCCAGTACACCACATAGTGTATCTAGTAGAATTTCTGGTGACTCATGTGGTCTATCCTGAGATAATCCCAGTCCCTAAAGTGATAATGTCTTTATTTGAACAGTTATTATATAACATGCTGTTTTGACTCTAACATATTTTTGATGGTGTTGTGACTCTGCTTTGCATATATTGTTATAGAAATCACTTTCCAGTATGTACACTGCCTCCAGTATATTTCCAGTATAAACTTTGAGGTTTATACTGATCATGACACGCATGCAAATTATTTTCACACCCATAAGGAGAAGTTGGCAATAGAAACAGACATGACACGTCAGAAGATTCAACCTTGTCTCTTATTTTGGTTCCCTGTGGCTCTTATAAAGGGCTATTTCTCTGTCTAGAAGTTACACGAAGCTCAACGGAAAGTCTGCAAGGATGGCAGAGGAGGAAGTTAGCTATGCCACAGTCAAATTCAAAAAAAAGAAACATTCAACAAAAGGTAAGTTTTTCCAATGCACTGCATCAAAAATATATTCTAAGCTACTTATGATGAATAAAATTGCAAATTTACTCAATGTGGATTTGTTTTAAACAGTTTTCTGCAGTAACAATGACTAGAAAAAATATCAGTAGAAATCAGCAAATAAGATCTTGAGCTAAGTAGGATTTTTACACTGATATTTTAAGACCTTGGTGCCTGAACCACTTCAACTAGTGGCTTGGGGATCTGACTTGAATGTGTCCTATATCAGCGGTCCCCAACCCCCGGGCCTCGGACCGGTACCGGTCCGTGAGCCGTTTGGTACCGGGCCACGAGAGTTGAGGCTCAGGTGTGAAATGTATGGTTTTCAGGGTTTTTATCGGTTTTCAGCGTTATTTTGTTATCGTTTTTATCATTAACTCAGTTTTCCTGGGTCTTTTCCCGTGTGTTATGAATAAATCTTCTTTTTTTCGGTACCGGTTCTAATTTTATTTTGTTGTATTTATCCACGACACCTTAAAGGCCGGTCCTTTAATATATTGTCGGGCATAAACCGGTCCGTGGCACAAAAAAGGTTGGAGACCGCTGTCCTAGATGCCTCTTAGGTGAGGTGTTTTTGGCATTAAACTCTGTGACAGACACAGAAAACACTGGAGAGTTTACGTCTCAGCTTGCTTGGAACATCCTGTTTTTTTCCACCAAAAGGAATGGAGGAGGTGGCTGAGAGAGAGGTCTGTGCATCTCTGCTTGGACAGCTCCCAGCACAACCCCAGTTAAGACACTGAATTGTGTCAACACTGAACAAATAGCTGTCCAAAATAATTAAATAAGCATTTGCATGAAAGCAAACATGCAATATTTCAATACAATAAGGTTTAGAAAGCCTTGTTATATGATAACTTGTGAATGCCAATCAACCTTTCAGTTAAAAAGGAGGAAACGGTTTATGATGAAGTGGAGGTGAAAATGAGCAAAGGAGAAAATGAAGCAAAGGAAAAAACTCCGGACACAAACGGTGAGTTGAAAAAAGAAAACACAAATCCACCGTAAATAAATGTCCAATACAGTGAAAATGTCTAAAACTGTCAGTACAAGACGGTGTGACGAGTACTGATGAGTTTGGGTGTCTTTCAAACTGGAGCATTTCCCTAACAGGGATTTAATGAAGAGACATGAAGTATCCTGAGTTTTACAATTAGATTCAAACAGTGGACGTTCTTCTCTTACAATCATTTTTACCAAGGTTTTTGAAGGACAAGTGGTATTTAACAGTTTAATAATAAAATGATTTTATCATTCATGCTCATAGTTAGGAGATGCTCCTTATAAGGTTTACGTTCCAAAAGATGGAGAACAGCATGAGTTACATTGTGTAAACGCGCATTTCAAAGCTGATATGTGGCTTCAGCTGTTCCAGACACTCAAATGAAGTGCTTCCTGTTTTTTAACTAACCGCTGTGTTTAAAATACCATCATTTGAGACAGCAAGACAAAAAGGAAATGTTGGACTTATAAATAGCAACATTGAATAATCAATTAACCAATAAGCAAATAGATAAAACAATATATTTCTGTTATTTAGATTTTTATGCCAGACAAGAAGAACGTTTACTTCAGTTTCATTGCCCTACATGAATAAAATAAGTATTTCAATGTTACAATATTTGTTTTAAAGTGGACATGAGATACCCTTCTCTCTAAAGAAAAAAAAACGATCATAGATTTAGCACTGTCTACAAATCTGGATTCAACAAATAAGTGTTTAAAGATTTTAGAGCATGTTTAGCGCCATCTTGTGCCAGCATAGAACATGATGTCACTGGGTTGGTTGCTGGAAAGTTGTGTCAGCAGGGTTCATAATTCACGGCTGTCACGTGGGTTATCAGGATGTATACTAGTTTCCAGAAGAGCTCCGCAAGCATGTGTGAATAAAAAATGACAAAACTGCATCTTTGGTCATTAGTTTTCAAAAATACATTGAGCTACAATAGTTTATATATCATAGTGAGGTATGTGTATTTCAATCTTTGTACATTCATAAGTCATATATTCAAAGGTTTGTTTTAACTGCTAGCCTCTTACATACATTTTTTTTCCACTTTGGATTTCCACTTTAACAGAATAGCTATTTTGTCATTTAAGGCACTTTTAACGATCTCTAGAAAGGACAGAATGAGAGTGACAGGTGACTATCAGTGATGACAGAATAATGTTTCATTCCACTAGCATGAGGGTAAACCCATTTTCTTGGTAAACACATTACACATACAGCAACAACAATAATAAACTGTCTTGTTTTTGCGTAACAGTGGCAGAAATTTCTCTTTCTCACATGTTAAGAAATCTGATAAATTAGAAGAAATCCAAACGTTCTCTTGTTCCTTATTATAGTAAGACACGTTACTGGTTAATTTCATAGTGTCAGCTAACTAGTGACCAATAACTCAGCAAAAAACAAGGACACTAGAACTAAAACTATTTATGATGGTTGCTCCCAACCCTGTCTGCAATGAGCTTTATGTTAAAAACAAAAGAAAACAAAGCTCCATCTCTTAAGAAGTAGTTTTTAGTTATTTGCTAGTTAGCGATTAGCACTTTATTTATGCAATAAAGTGTTCGCTCTTTCCCAAAACACATGTAGACAGTATATGGCAGAACTGATTACCATATGCGCATCACACCATAAATGTAACTAAGTTTCTCACCGAAGTGTGATCGGGAATCCTAACATCCATCAGCATGTCCACAGGGAAAAGATTGCCTACAAGATTGATTGCCACACTTTTTGGAAACCTTAATTTCTTATTTAGATTTAGAAATCGTTAGCTCACATTATCTCACTGAGCATATTTCTTAACAATAGAAGTGAGAAAAAGCGAAGTTCGATTGTAAACACTGGGGGGTTTTTTTGTTCATGCTGACATGCTGTCAGGACTTCCAATCATGTTCGACATAAAACATGCCAGGGGCTGCCACAAAGAGTTTTTTTAAGACAATTCTTTTTGTTTGTTTGTTTTAGTGTCCTTGTTTTCTACTGAGATATCACTTCTGTCACTAGTTAACTAAGATAAACTAATGTAAGTCTATTAACAACAGCCAAGCAACGCAGTGATGTTACGTTCTGTACTGGCACAAGATCCCGCTAAACATGTTCTTATCTCTAACTTCAAACAGTTATTTCTTTGGCTTCACAGACACTGTTACATCTATTATAGTTTTTTACATATGGTATAAATTAGCTCCAATAAATGTGTTTCATGTCCACTTTTAAACTATATGACATTTTTATCAAGACTTCACTAACTCAAGACTATAAATATTTTGCCAGACAAGACATCAGACAGAACTATGAGCAGACATCGCCACTATAAACAGTTGGCTTGTTGTTTGGGAATCATTTGTGTCATGTTGGTGTTGGGCATCATAGCAGTCACTGTCTACCGTAAGTATGAAAAAGATCATTTCATGTATAAAAGATGTGTTTATTATCATTATTAGGAGTAGTAGTAGTATTGTTGTTGTTGTTGTTGTTGTTATACAAATTCCACATTTCTTGATCAGGACAATTTCAACTATGATTTTTGCAATGTTTTGTTACTCATATAACTGGTCTATTTTTAGAGGCAACCTCTAACAACGATATTTTGACAGACACTTAGAGAATATTTTTTAACAACAATGAATGAGGCCAAAGTGGATTTGAAGACAATCTACAAGGAATTACCCCTGCAGTCACAGTACAGCCCTTATGCTGACACAACCTATCTTCAGCTAGAAAAAAAAATTCAAAACAAATATATACTTTTTATTGTCAGAGTATTTACATGAAAATACAATGTGAAATACATGAATGCATGGTTCGAAATAATGAATAATTGCATGACAGATATCAGCAGTGATAAAAGAAAGAGTACGGGGTGTGTGGTTTACTTCTTTTTGTTCTTTATTTAAAATTAATCTGACAAATCTGAAAAGCACAACGATAGCTATTAATGCCTAGAAATTTGGGAAACCTGAATTAGAACAGACAGAAGATGTTTTGAACAGTGATAAAATTACAGAAACAAAATGGAAAAAGAAATAAAACAACATAATGGGATTTCTTTAGGGGCTTAGAGTTTGCACATTATTAACTGACAATTACTGAACTCGCCTGAAACGGTTAGAAAAAAACCAAACAGCTAACTGTTGCCAATCACAAACTGATAGATCTATACTGCAAACTCAGCTCAGACACTGAAGACTTGAGGAGGAACCAAACCAACCTCATTCTCCAGATTCACAACCTGACACGAGACTCTACTCTCTTGGAAAAACAACTTGCAGAAAAAAACCAGGAGCTCGAAAAGAAAAATGAGGAGCTGGAGACAGAAAAGAAAAACCTAAAAGAAATAATAGAACAGATGACGACACGACGGGATGAGCTCAATGTTAGTCGAGCTCAGTGGAGCATTGATGCCTACTGTCCCAAAGAAAAAAACAGTAACAGTATGTTCCAAATATATTTGTACAAAATTATCTAATTTAACATAGATATGCACTGATGTTGTTTATTAACCGTTCTCTATTCTTGCAGACAGAAAATGTAATGCTTGTCAGGCTGGCTGGTTATATTTTGAGCCCAGCTGCTATGTAGTTCATAATGCTGAACGTGCTGAATGGAAAACCTGGGAAGAAGCTCGAGAAAACTGCAGAGGAAAGAGTTCAGATTTAGCTGTTGTTATTAATGAAGAAGAAAAGGTACTGAGAAAACTGTGGGACACTTTATGACAGACTTCATGAAAATAAAAATATAATTTCTTTAGATTGAAAGCTTTCTTAGAGCAAATTGTTTAAATATCTCTGACAACTTTCTCTCTGTCCTCAGAAAAATGTCAGTAAAAACAGTTGGAAAGATAATGAAAACAAAAGATACTGGATTGGTCTGAGAGTTGAAGATGGGAAATGGAAGTGGCTGGATGGAAGGAATCTGACTGATAGGTAAGAGACACTTTGAATCAATAGAAATTTCAAGTATTTCCCAAATCTGTGATAAATCAATTACAGTGTACCAGTGTCCATCAGCCTTGAGCAGAATTCTTGTTTTCCTCAGCTCCTGGATGAACCAGCCTCCTTCTGATGGTCACTGTGCAATCTCTGTACAAGACGAAGGATTTAAATCAGTGAGATGTGATGAGACGAACCCATGGATCTGCAATAAGAAAGCTTTGTCTGTTTGAATACTGCAGTAAAACTTCAGAGGACTTTTGGATAGTCTCAGTCTCAAAATATAATATTAATGATGATATTAATAACTGGTCAACAGAGGGCACTGCATTACTTCAAACCAATGAGTTGTTCCCTGAAGTATCTGCACTGAAATTTTTCATGTTGCAATGATAGTTATTGTTAAGCTATGTTATATTAATGAGAAATGTTTTAGTCAAGCCAAGAACAACACTGTTCAAACTGCTGTAACATGTAGAAGAAGGACAGCTGGCCTCTACATTTGGACTTTGTTAATCAGTCACAGTGTCAACATCAGCTACAGAGCAGCAGAGAAGAACAGGAAGTTCAGCTTATAATTGAAGTCTCATGTTGTGTATTTTGCATATTGTTATCATATCAGCTTGACTTTTTTTAGTGTTGTTATTAAAGTTTTGATTTTATTCATTTACATTGATTGAAATGAAATTATGGATCCATCCTGCTTTGTATCACCAGCTCAGCCTGGTGGTGGTGCTGTAAGGGTTTGGGGGGTATTTTCTTGGCACACTTTGGGTCATTTATGCCAACTGAGCATAAATAAAAATGGCACAGTCCACCTGTGTATTATTGTTGAACATGTCCATCTCTTCATACCCACAATTCTT